GTTTGATCTGTATCAGCTAGAACTGACTGAATCAGTATACTTTGGCTGGTGCTATTTCTTAAGGTTGTTCTGAAACACCTTTTGGTAAGCATTTTGCAGGTAATCATCCTGTGTTTAAAACCCTTGCCAAAGAAAGATTTCTGAAAATGTCTGGTATAGACAAGTGTCTGATTAGTATATCTGACAGTTTCAGCTATATGTCCTGCTTTTGTTAAATCAGTGCTCCATGCTTATGGCAACCACTGGGGCTATAGTGTATAACCATGGGTCTTTCCTTTCCTCCCACTTTCTGCATCCTCCCCAACATACACTACAAAAACAGGTGTATAAAAGCTGATGTGGTTCAGGATTATGCAGCATGAGAAATATTTACAGCATTTTAGGATACTACCAATGTGTGTGACACTGCCACCAACCTTTTTTTTTTCAATTTTACATGAGTTTTAGCCCTATCTGACATCTGCCAACTACAATTCCACACCCTGCAATTGTGTGCCTGTTTTGACTCAGTATTTTTAGTAGGTCATATGCAGTCCTAGTCTTTGGGAAATTAGTTACTTACAGAATTTGAAGACACATACAACCCTAAGAAAAAGTGTTGCCCATTGAAGTTTGGTAGTACTACATGAGGGATCAGGTTTAACTCTTCAGTTCCTCTTTGCCTCAGAATCCTGAGACCCAAAATTTCCTCTTGCTCAGTAAGAAACACCCCCAAAATCTATTGCTGACCTAGAACTTGAATTCCTAGGCCCTTCTGGACCTATTTTTGACATCTTCTATTCTTCTTACGCAGACCTCATTCTCTGAACTGTATCTTATTTCCCAGATAGGTTATGCTTGCAGATACAATTGCCTTTTTTCAGATGCAGCTGTGAGGTCTAGCTGAGCTCTCTAGCTGTTATTTACTCCTTTCTCTGCTATTGGGGATATATATGATGCGTCACGTTTATGTTTACAATTTATATGTTTTATGCCTTTGTTTTATCTGTTTTTTGATTAAAGAAGTATTGCTACTATAGCAACAGTTGCATCATGTGATATCTTTGATATTATCAAGATGCCAAATACTTGTTAAAGAATAAATCTGTATATTAGATGTAATTCACTGCTTCTTACAATATTTTTAAATAAATATTTTCAGTTAACGTATTTGGTACTACTAATTTTTCAGGGTATTTTTCCTCTCTAGTGATGAGTATTTTATGGAGAGATTAGGGATTATACAGTACAGTAGAAAGAGTAATAGATATTCTTTTTTCTTCTTTACTGAGTGTGAAGAATCTATTGCTACTTTTTTCTTTTATGAGGAAAAACTGTTCATATCTTCTGGGACATTTCTGGGTTCCCTAGAGAGATACAAAAAAATCCGTTGCCAGTTACCTCTGACAAGAAGGCATTGCCTTCTGAGAGCTCCAAAGGCATCAAGTGGCAACAAAGCCCTCTTGACATTATTTTGAAAGTTGGCAGTTACCTGAACTTTCCTAATTCCCACTGTTTGTTGCACATACAACTTTGGGTGTGCTGCTCCCACCATAGCTTGCATTCCCTGCTTTTTGTTATCTCTCCAGAGAGAACACACTTTGAGCTTTTTGGTTCCATATTGATTCACAGGAAATAAATATTTTGAGGTAAAGTTTGAAGTCAAGATTATTAAAGTTCAAGACTGGAAACAAATATTAAATGTAAAGCCTATACAAGTCAACACAGGTTGACTTTCTTTTCTTATAAACTTTTAAGACAATCCCAGCCATGAGGAGTGAGGATCATTGTTCAGAGCAGTATCTGTCTGCCAGTTATTGCCTTCAGTTCAGTGTTCTTCACTAGATTTTCTAAAGGAGCTATAATTGCCATTGATAACTCTATCTGAATCAAGTTTTTTTGAATGGACTGTATAGTGGAGATTTCTCATCATCTTTTCATACTTAATCAGTTAGCTAATGATTTTCTCTTGGGCTAAGTACCTTACATACTTTTCGGTTCTTGCTTATCCTTGGGCTGCCTGCTCTCTGCTCACTGTGAGCTTTTAAGCTAAATATTCTTTGGAGTACTACCAAGCCTTATGTGGAGACCCCGTATGACATCTTGTAGACAAAGATGAAGGATTTGGTTACTGCTTGTTTTGCTTTGGCATGTTTGCATATAAAAACAAGTTTTTTTCCAGTCCCAGCTTTGACTGGACACCTATGCCGTACCTTCTGCTTGAGTAAATCGGTTTGGACATGTATGTCTAAAGAGTTATCTTAGGCATAGCTGTCCCTTCTAACCCAAAAGAAAAAGTTAATGGTGCATTACCCAAGAAATTGCATTGGGCAGATAAAAAGATTTGTTGTCTGGTAACCTCTGTAGAAACAGTAACCTGTGCAGTAAAATTAAAAAAAAGAAATGACAATATTTCCTTCTTCTTTATATAACCTACCATAAGCTTTTTAAAATCCATAGCAGTGAGCGTACAGTTTATTTTTCCTGAGTAGTTCCAGAACTTTTATGAAGCTCAGAACTTACCTGACAATCTCAGCTACAATTCTTCTTGGCTTTTATTCTGCATGTTTTCTTGGATGTGGGTATCTTCTTACACTTTTGAGACAGACATTTGACAACCAATCTGTTGGTCAAACTGTGGGTGGCAAGTAACTGAAGAGACAATTACTGTGAAGATGCTATATCTCAAATTAGGTTTCTAAATAACAATACAATGTGCTACTAATTTGTAAAGTTAGACCAGGCTGTGTGAGAATCCTATTTGTGAAGCATTCTCCTTGTTCTGCTAGACCTTTGAAATAGCCAGTACTGACAATATGGGCGCAGTAAGGGTATGTGAGGCAGCAAGTTTGGTTGGTACCATGTTGGGTATTCTTCCAAGCCCTGGGAACTGTAGTCTTAACATAATTTTTTCCATTTCTTTTCAGATCACAGAGACTGTGAATTAAGCTAATTTCAGACTGACATCACTCTCTGCTGTATGTTCAGATTCTCAGGGTCATGCTTGCTACCTACCTTGCTAAAGGATAAGTGTTTGTGAAGTTACAAATGATAGTTCTTTTTTCTTCTTTTCCTTAGCATTTTTGAAGCCATTGGAATTGGAAATCAAAGTTCCTGTCTGCTGCTGACTGTAGGATTTTGAGGATATTTATGGAGCATTCATAACTGATGCCATACATAACAGGTCTTCCTGAATATCTGTGTTGCTGTAGCCTGGGGCATTGATATAACAGCCTTTATTTCAAAAATTAAAGAACAGAAGAACGTAACTAGCTATTAGGAGTACAGAGATTTATTGAAGTTTTCTCTACAAATGCAGGAATCAAAGAATTTGCTAAAATTACACAAATCTATAGAGAGGGGCTCTGCAGTTTTCCTGGTGGTGGAAGACACCATTATTGGCATACCCTCCATAAATGTTGCCAGTCCAAAAGATGAGCTGAGCAACATCCATGTAGAGTCTTGTTATATTTTGGAGCTAATAGGACTTCCAAATCTGAATGTTTCCCTATCTGAATTTCCCTGATTGTATTTCTGTTTATTGCAAACTATACTGAGAGTTCAGGTTCATTCCTCTGTGTGGGTTTACAATAACTATACTGCTCCAGGCTGATAAGGCTCTTTGTTAGTGTGTCTTAGAACTTCTCTTTGCCCCTGGAGGATGAGAAGATGGTTATCAGAACCTTAAACAATGGGAATTTTCTTGGCCAATATAGGTAAAGGAAAATTAAAGTTGCTGGCATGGTTGCATTTTAAAATCTGTAACGCTTTTACTCCATTTGGTGTTAGCTTAGCCATAAGGAAAATACAGTCCTTGTCAATGCATTTTGTAGACCTAGTGACTTGATTTTGGTATGGTCATCTGAGTTCATTTCTTTTCTGAACAGTCTGATGCAAAGTAGAATATAGTAGTTCTCTTTTGCTAATGACAGAAAAATCAGTAGTAAAAAATATATCCTAATTTTGTTCTAAAATTAGGTTCTAATACTGTTTCTTGCTGACGTTCTAAGTTTCTAAGTTTCTTGCTGACGTTTGTAATATTTAGAGAAGACTTCTTTGAAGTTGATTTGCAGTTATCCTATCTTCTCGTGCTGCCCTACCTTTCTACTTGACTACCCTTATTAGGCAGAAAGTCTGATTATAAGAATGATGTAGGTTTTCTAGGCAAATTCACCCTGTATTTTTCTATGCCTATTTTAATGTGTCTATGCTTTCCTTCTAGCTAATGTAGCATGAGCGTAGCTGCTGGCTGGTAACTCCACGGATGCGGAAGGTTGTCACAGCTGGAAGTGGGCTTGTTGTTTACCCAGCTGAGAGAATAACTATTACTTGCTAAAGAGATAAATCCCTCTAGAAACCCTGCAGTTTTTGGAAAATATACTCCTACCTACATTTGCATGATATTTACTGTCTGTAGCAAATACTATGTTTTCATCTTTGCCTAAATGAAAAAAAAAATTGGCTTTATTCTTTCAGTTTAGGAGAAGTTCTGGAACTTTCCAAACTCTTGCTCCTAAGAATCCTCGTTCCTTTTAATTGATTTTGTTCATTTTCACTACTTTGATGTGAAAGAGATCCAAGATGACAATACAGTGATTGCATTCAGTTACCAGAAAGCTCTGTCCAGGTCTTATTTTAAAAACTTATACTATTCCTTATATAGATTTCAGACACCTACAGATTTTATACTTGATAGAAAATTGCTGTTAACGTTTAATACCGTGCTAAAAGTAAATCCAAGGGATTTGCTGGAGATTCCAGGAGTTTAAGCTATGAAGAATTAGAATAAAATAGCTCTGTGACTTACAACCTCTGACAAAAAGTGGACAAAATAAGAAGTAGAGTCAGAGAAAATTTCTTTGCTAAGTTATTTTTGCCTTTGGTTGTCTTATCTAACCTTTTCTCAAAGAAGAATCTGATCTCCTTAAGTGTAATATGCAGTGTGTACTGCAGTTAATTCTCTTTCTGCCTGTAAATTTTGTTTCCGATTGAAGTCCCTATTTCCCTTCTCCACAGGGTTCTGTCATACGTCTTCGCCTTCAGTCAAGAAAATCTACTTAGGGCTCCCCAGTTGTGAGGACAATATCTCTTTATTAGCCAGAGGACTTATGGCATAAAGCAGCATGCTCACTTCTCTCCGTATGAAGGTGATCACACATTCTCAGCAACGCTGCTGCATCTGCTGGACAGGCAAGCATGAAGCCCCATCCGATAATCCGTGTGTGTTTGCCATATACAGCAATAGAGGCTATGCGTAGGCCAGTCGCCTGACCTGTCCTTTATCACCCGGGCAGGGCGTGCCAGAGGACTGGTATGGCCATAATGCACCTGTGCTAGATAATAACATGACGTTCAAAGACTAAACTGTAGTTTTGGTGGTTTAGAAATTAATTACAGATAATATACCACAGTAGTGTGTGATAAAGAATATACAAGGGGAGATTAATATTATTAAATGACTTTGAATAATAGGTTATTTGATGATTTTATTCTCACTCCTGGATATAACACTGGCTACACTGGGCCAGGGAGGAGCAGCTGGAAAGACTTTGCTGAGACACAGTTACCTCACTGCTTCCTTCTGCATCGTCTAAAGACAATGATGGGGCAGATTTTCTGAATTTGTCAGTTAGCTGGAAGAGGAGACGTAGCTCTGTCTTCTGGCTGCTTCTACACTGTCTTGTGATGGCAGCATTACAAATATAATCTCTTCTAATTCTATCATCTTTATCTAAGAAGTGTTTCCCAGCTATCTTTTAGGAATTACAAGAAGCCTACTATTTTTAGCTGGCACTTGGAAGTATTAGCAGCAGCAGGAGTCTGGTCGTCTCACTCCTCTGCTCTCGGTAGGCTTCCTGTCTCCCATTCTTTCCCTGTGGTCCTTGGCAACTCCTGCATTCTTGGGGCAGATCTGCAGGTTTTCTCTGACTTCTCTCTGTACCCTTGATTCTGCGTGTTGAGTTACTTGACTAGCTGCAACCAGAGTATGGGTCCTGAGGAAAGCGGCCCTGAACAGAAACTAAGAAAAGGGTTTTCCTGTGGCTGCTGTTCTGAATTGAAGAGCTGCATGATGCAGAGGGATGCATCGTGTCAAATGGCATGATCACGGCCATACTGCTACACAGATTTCCTGTTCAGGTCTAAGTTTGCCTGCGGTGTTACTGGTTTTAAAGAAATTGTATCAGCAGTGCTGCCAAGCTCCATAGGTTAAAAACAGATAGCTAAAAGTATCAAGAGGAAGTAGCGATTTTACATTTGAAGTAAACAGTTTAAATGTCCTAGATTGCTATGGGTAATTATTCAATCTAAAACAAATAACCTTGAAATTGCAAATAATAATTCTATTAAAAATAAATATTGCACACTATTTAATTTTTAACTTTTTTGGATTGTGAAAAAGAAGAAAAGGTGTAAATTCTCTTTATTCCCTGTTACAGTACTTCTCAAAGAGAATAAAGTTTCAAATTTCTTCCGTGACTGGGAATTTATATGCCAGTGTTAAACTAGATATACATATTTTTAATTCAGAATTTATGTATCTCTGGAAATATGAGTATATAATAGAAAGCCTGACAGACCCTTTAGCTCTGGTGTCAGTAATACATTGATATAATTTGTTACCTCAGCTAAGGTGTTTTGCCTCAAGAGGTGGAATACATTTATGTATAGAAAGGTCAGTTTTAATTAATAAGCTGTTTTCATCATTCAGGGCCAATATGAATTGCTTGTAACATTTGTGTGAAATAGTTTTCAATATAAAAATAAAACAAATGGAGCTTTATGTCACATCCATCATCCCCTGTAACCCATTTAAATGTCAAAAAGTCAGTACAGACCAAAAGTCTATTTCTAGGGGCCTCAGTGGCCCTATTTATTAGAGTGAAATAAGATATTATCATCCCGTTATTCCATCATATGCCTTCTACACATTTCTTTTCATTTTCTCTAACACAGAAGTTTTTCTATTGTTAAATATTTGTTGTTCAAGCAGTAGACAGTGAAGAAAGTGCCGAACCAATGTCAGAAGGATGAACAGCTAGTTATATTATTATACATTTCTGCCATTATTTAATATTCATGTATAATGTAATATGCAAATACTAAGTTGTTTTCTTTTTTTTTACTTTCTCAAATATTAAAAAAATAATCGCTGTTTTTTCATCCCTATTTGGAAACAAATGTTTTGGGTACTGCAATTTGCTAGATAGTGTAATTTGACAGGGAAGATAAAGTTTTCAATATGTACACTGCAGACATATTTTGGCAGACATCATGCAGTAGTATGGAAAATTTCTGTCCTCATAAATTTTTATTATGAAATAGAAAAAAACCCCAGTTTTTGTCTTTCTTTATTACAGGTTTTTTTTCTGAGTTTTGTTTTCTAAGGAAGCAAGGCTCAGGTAATCAGTCCTCACACAAGTATAAGTCCTCACTCCAAGAGTATAAGTCTCTCCCTTATAATAACTCTTAATTTCCAAATGTGAGTGGGAGTTACAGTCTCAAAAGTTCTAAATTTGTTTAAGAGTCATGAAAATAGGCAGCTGGATAGAGCAGAAAAAGCCTATTAGTGCCCATACTGCACTACAGGCTGCAATACAAATCCAACTCTTGAAATACTAGAGAATCCATGCAGAATATACATATTAGAGTGCTCCAGTGAAAGAAGTAGATCCAATTGAAGATCACACTTTATTGCACATGACATGTATGTAGCTGCTTTTTTAAAGAAAAGAACAAAAAACAATTGCAAAGATATCCAGTAGTATCACTAAAACCTTAAAATTACAGAAGTTAAGACATTTAGTTTCAGGAGGCAAGAAGTTGACAAATTACAATTGTGCTTTAAATTAGCTTTTTAAACTAAGTAGCCTTAAGAGTTTATCAGCAGGAGATTGGAAGAAGTTTCCAGGAGAGTAGACAGGAAGAAAAGCTGAATGAAACAGAAAAAGAGGAAATACCTTCTGCCCGCCCTAAAAGAAAACAGAGGAATGGTGCTGTTGTGTCTTCACAATATGTATAAAAAAATTAAAATAGCAATACAGTAGCAGCTAGGGATAATGCAGGAAAAAATATGCAATGTTTCTCTTTTTTTACCTTTCCAAGATAAAATAGAAAATCAATGTTTTCCCCCAAAATCACTGAAGAAGTTCACACTGGGGCACTGAACATACTGCAGGTCCTGTGACATGTTTGTGAACAAGCGGCTAATGTGAAGATTATCTTGTATGAGGGTGGTAATTGAGGGAACATGCTGAAAGCTACTGTCTGCCTACCCTAATCCTTGGAACACGTGCACTCTTTGTGCCTATACACATCGCTGATGAAGCAGGTCCATGCCACGGTCCTCAGTGGAGCAGATGGCAGGTGCATCCAGCCCTGCGCCATGTACAGACTGCCAAGCTCGTTTTGGAGGGCAGGTCCTGCTGAGTAAGTTGGGGTCTGACGCACAGTGGCTAGTCCTGCTGTCAGTGGGCGAGGACAAGGTCAGTGCTCTACAGGCAGAAGCATCTTTATGGAGATCAAAGTAAAAAGTGATGTCATTTCTCTGAAGGGAGTTTCTGGCATGTAATGAACTTTATGCAATCAATCCTCTGTCCTACTCTTGCATCCTTTTGATATTGGTAGACTGTTTGCCATAGCCATTCAGAGGCAACAGGGGTGTAGTTTCAATTTCCAGAGGAGACTTGCTAAGAGACTGTTCCATGAGCATCTGAAACAATAAATGAAGAACAGTAGCATATACTGTATTTCCAATAATTTACAAATCAGGCCTTAATGCCTGCACATCTATATTTTCTGGTCAATATGAATTCCAGTGCTCTTTGACCCATGCATATGTGATATGGACACAGCATGTAGTGGAGACTCAGTATCCTTTTATGCTTTGCTGTCTGTCTCATTAGATAGGATTTAATTTCATCTTACAGGTTTTTAAAGAAAAAAACTATGTGTATATATGTATGTGTATATATATATATACACACATACACATATGTATGAATATACCAAATTTAAGAAGGATATGATTTAGTTATGCTTGAGAAATATAATTTAACATTGTCTAGTATAGTATCAAGTTGAATTCATGTGATTTCCTGCAAAGAAAAATTATGCTAAAGCTAAAAAGTGTGTCTTCACTAAACTTATTGGCATCTTTATTGTAATTTGGAATATTGCACTGATACAGATTCAATAATGCTGACCCAAAACACTAAAACGTAAAGAGTCAAGTCTCAAAAAGTCATTTGAGATTGATTTAAAAATCTTTGTGATTTTGAAAATAATTATGGTTTCTGAGGTCTAAGCCCTTCTGCATGCTTTTTACAACCGAGCAGGTTGGAAACTTGCTTTTTGTAAAAACAAAAGCAGATCCTCACAAAGTCGCAGACATCAAGGAGCTGGAGCTTTAAGAAAAAGAGCGCCTACTGTAGGATATGTAATCAAGTTATTATTATTGGCAACAAAGTTATAGAACAGAATAAAATATTTCAATTGTGTCATATATATTGTAGTGAATGTGCAAGTTCCTTGCTGAGTATGTTGTGAATTACCAGTAAAACATCTGCCCAGTAAAGGACTTCATAATTCCTCCAGGAGCAGAAGGAGAGGCATTAGATCAGAGCTGAACAGGTTTGGGAAAGAATCTGGAGACTGTGTTAAAGCATCAGTCCTTGGCAGTGGCTTGGAAAGAAGTGAAAGAGCATTTACTGTGTGCAGTAGCCTCAACTTTACTGAGGTGCAAAAAAACAGACCTGCACTCAGCGGCTCTGAAGACTTCCCTGGGACGCATTAAGGGAGAAGCATAGGCTGGAGCAAGAATCTGTGGCACTGACCTAGGGAGTCCTGTGCTCAGATCTCTGTATGAGGCTGCTCCAGAAACTGTGTCAAGTGATGTCATTCATATCACTTTTTGTGTTGTATTTAAACCACCTAACGCTGCTCCAATAAAGGATTCCTATTTTCTTTCTGAATTCAGTGCTGATGAGAACATACTGAAAACTAGAGTGAGGGTCCTAATGTTTGGAGAACAAACAGACTTTGTCTCTGTCTGATGTGTCGCTCACTCCTCCGAAGGGATAGGTATTCCTCAGCACTCACGGCAACAGGATGATCGGGGACTGGCTGCAGAATGCTTTCTGAAATTCTCCTTTTTTGAGGAAAGTCAGATTCTCCAGACAGCATTATTTCTCTTACTAAAACAGGAACTTAAGTGGAATATTTGCGTGGTTTGATACTTACAGATTTAATGCATGATACCATTAATACAAACAAATCATTGAGTAAATGTTAAAAAGAAGGAATGCATTTACTTGTGTCTATGTTAAATGATGCAAATTCCATATTGCGTAGAAAAGCATGAGGGAATATCCATTGTTTTTTATAGTTTTTAGTTTCATACTCATGTTTATCTACCTATTTATTTATTTGTTTGTTTGCTTTTACAGCAACAGGTAGTGACGTAGGAAGTGATGATGTTATAGCAGGGAATGTGAGCAAGTACACTGTCCTCCCAGCTGGTTACTGTGGACAGCCTAAAAAAGGACATCTTACATTTGATGCCTGTTTTGAAAGTGGTAAGCATTTTCGGCATTTTAAATTTTATTTTGGAAGTATATTGGGGAGGTTAACCTGGTAATGTGCCAAGTCCACCCTTGAATAGTTAGATTTTATGAATATATACTTAATGTCCTTAAATATATGCCTTATTTGCATTTCTGAGGGCCTCATTCTGAACTACTGAGGGTATTGGAAATTCTGCCTCTGATATCAATGGGAGCAGAATTAGATTTTGGAAAGCTACCAAAAATTGAAAGAGAAATTATTTTTGCAGGAGTTATAGTTAGTATATTCATTTGAAGAATGTTTTGAATCATGTATGTTTATATATGTTCTGTGAGTATATAGATAAATATATATGCGCATATGTAGCACAATTAAAATTTTTGTGTTACATATATGTGTGTCTCCAGATTTTTAGCTTCAATCTATTATTACTGGCTTACACACCTACTGAGCACTGTTAAACACCATATGTACAAAAGGCATTTGGCAGGATAAACTATACTTTCCAGCTTGGTTTATGTGAGAGGTGCTGGTAATGCCAAAACTACTACAGTGTCTTGTAAAATGAGCTTTTTATGAAGAAGTACGTCCCTTAGGGTGGAATACTGGCTGCCAGCTCCTTGGTAAATATTAAACTGAGTTATTTAAATCCTTTGGTTACATTATGTAAAAGGTGTAAATGATACAGTGAGTAATAAACAGTATCTTATTTTTAGGTTGTTTCTGATAGTTCAGACAATGCTTATGTATTGTTAAAAAATATTAGGGATGCTATCTCACAATACTTATGATTTTATGAAATTTTATATCAGAAGATAGCTTATGAAATTAACCAGTTAGTAAAGCCGAGAAATTTACTTTATTGTGTTAAGCTGCTATGCTACGAAAAAGATCAGTAGCACCCATCCAATTATTCATGGAGTAATGTGGATCATTGCAAGATGGTTTAATATCAATTTTAAACAATAGAGTTAATTTTATTTTAAAGAAATCCAAAGGTAAATTCCACACCTTATGCATTTTGACAATAATATCGCTATGTCTATGGTTCATTGTAACATGATGAGGCGCTGATGTTGCTTTGCATGTTCAGACATCTCCAAAATACAAATATGAATAAATTAATAACTTCATTTACTTTCTCATGATAATAGTATATTGGCAAGAATGGTAATACTATTGTGTACATTTCTTTTATAAATTCACTCTTTTGCTATATGTCAGCCAAGTGATCGTTTAGAGCACCTTAACTGGTCAAAGGAAATTAACTGATTTTTGGATATTTTACCAAATTATTGTTACTGCTGAAATCAACCCCTTTGTGTCAGCCAAAAGTAATATACAACATATATACGGCAGTATATTGCTACACTTCTGAGTCCACTTTGGAATTGATATTAGCTCTACATAGTGCATGCTATTGGACTTGCTGTTTTCAAAAAACAGATTATAAAACAAACCTCATTAATTTTATAATAATCCTGAAGTTAGTGTCATCTTGTAGACCTAAATATCCCTGAAGGAAATAGGCAATTGGGATACAGTTTATGGATTTTTTTCTTAGACCTAGTCGTATTTCCTCCATTACAGTGATGTTATTACTAAGCACAAGTGTGTCATTGAAATCTAAGACCCTTGCTACTTCAGAGCTACTACAGGACCTTTACAGTTATAGTCTGGTAAGGATTTACAAACCTTTGAAAATAAACACAATGTGATTAAAAAAACACAACAGTTATACTACTCAGTGATGATAGCTTGAATGTAACATTGATAGAACTTTTGAGATTGTTTCATATAATATGATGAAACTATGATAGAATGGATGCAAAACTGCCTGGACAGTGGTACATGGCTTTCAGCGCAGAAGTTGTCTTGAATGTGAATCCACAAGCGTGGTTCGTGTCTCTGGCCATGTTCTATGTTTTCATGAAAGACCTGGCTGGTAGAACTGAAAGTTCCCTTCCAGCCTTATTTTTCAGAGACTCTGTGGTTTTATATTACACAAATGGAAGTAAAAATCTTTCAGAAAAGAAAAAAAAATATTAAACTTGTAGATAAAAAAAGGTTAATATATAGAAGTTATGCTATTTAATTCGCTTTTGTTTTTGTAATGGATATCATTAGTGTATTAAATAATTTTGACAAATGTGAAGTTTTTTGAGATAGAGAGATGTGTTCTTATATATTCTGAAAAAACGATCTCCAGTTTACTGCTGTGTGTTGCATTCTGTTTTTGTGAAATCATTAAAAAATAGAGATGAAATGAACATTGAGATGTCTTTTTAGTCCATTCATCTGTTGAAAAGCAAAATAGATTATACTTTTGTTATTCCTAACAGATGTTTATCTGTTCTCCTCTTAGAGATATTCAGTGAAGATTTCAACGAGGAAACGGCAGTCTATTCTAATGTTTCACTTTGCTTAGTATAAGAAGCTTTTTCCTTCTGTGTAGAGATGTTCAATTAAAAAGGCATTCTTTTCCAGTCTTCTGGCACAGAAAGCAGACTATTCCTTTCTTCTTTTACTTAATGGAAAACTGTTATCATATCTTTCCTTGGCCTTTCCCTCCTTAGGTTAAAGAACTATTATTTTTTTCAATAGCTCCTTACTGGTCATATTTGCCAAACTTCCACTCATTACTTTTTCTTTCTTCTGGCCTCTCTCCAACTACCGCATGCCTTGCTTGACATTTAGTGATCCTAAGTGAACATGGTACTCAGATGTTCTGGTGACAATACTATGTAGAGTTTATTACATAACAGGTCTTGTGGTCTATTTACTTCTGCTGTGCGACACTGTCATCCTGTTTCCTTTTTCACAGTAGCATGGCGTTGTTGACTTCTGTTCAACTTATGATCCCTTATACTCTCCAGATCCTTTTCAGAAGAACTGCTATCTAACCGGTTTGTAACTTGCACTTAACTTTCCCTTAATGAATTTAATACTGGCAAAAGAATCTTTGCTATAAAATAAATACAATTATTGAGAATTAAGAATGCTCATTGAACCCTTTATCTCACAAAAGTGTTTTTATCCTGTATAGCAGATGAAGGAGCAAAGGAGAGGGAATATAATTAGCTCAGGAAATCTCAGGAAATTCATGTCTCCCATAGTCCAAGCTTATGTTCTAACAACTGGGACCCTCCTTGTTATCTCTATTGGTATTTAAGAATATGTAAGACCGATAGAAACTTTTTACGTCTGCTTACTATTAGCATAAAAGAAACTGATGAAAATTCAAATTTCTTGCATTCCACAACATAATTTTTAGATAACATCAGTTTTTCTAGGAAACCATGAGATAGTTTCAGTTTCAGGGGAAAATGGAAACACAGTTATCTATGCATAGAATCAGTTAGAAGGAACTATATGTCACATTTGAAATATATAAATTTGGATCAGTTATAATTCCTCTTTCTTATTATTCATTAACGCATTAAATTATCAATGCAGAGTCAGTTTAGCAGCAATGCAGTGCTCTACAAATATTCATCTCTCATCCTATCTGATCTGGTGATACTGGGAGCTTTGCAAAAGACAATGCTTCTGGGAAATGGATGTATTTACTCCTGCTGTACAAACAAGCCCTTCCTGATTGTGTCAGGCCCAGACTTTGATGTATGAATGTCCTTTAGGGAATCTGGTGTCTTTACTTACTCAAGGCGAATTGGTATTTCAGGCATTTTATTTTGTATGGGTCTAAGTGATTTTAAAGTTCAGTCTAGCCAGTTACCCTTGCTTTCTTTTGTTAGCTTAGTATATGTTATTTCTGATAGCCTCAATTTAATCAGCAGCCTCTTCTGTGTTGTGGCTTTGTGGCTAAGGTTTATTTTTATTTGCTTAACCATTTTTTCCTGCACCAGCAGTTTTTTGCAATGATTCTCATTGAGAAGAGATTTTTTTCTGTATGTTTATATAACTGAAGAAGCTTACCTTCTGCATGAGGAAATAATTATTTAATTTATAAATTGTACATGAAGCTTTTACACCTGTTTTGCAAGGTCAGTTGCTGTCTAGACTCTGCCAATACCTAATCTAGCTGGAGAAGGCATGGCTCGCACTGTCGTACATTCAGGCTATGCCTCTACAACTGCTACAGGAGTACACCTTCAGAAAGTCTGTAAGAGGTGCCATGCACTCAGCAGCCATGTTCTTCATGGAGGTGCTCATAATGCTCTGACAGGACCATAAGTTCTTTCCAGCTAACAATACGCATCCAGACCTTTTTTCTCAATGTGCAAGGACTATGTTTGCAAGAGTGTAGCTACAGTTTGCCTTAGTGTCTCGGTCAAGATGGACTCGAAAAAGCAACAGCATTTGCCTTCCCCTGGCTCCTGCTGTGGAGAACCAGCATATCAAGAACTTCTGTTGACACTGCTGGCTGTGGCTTCACTGAAGAAAAAGCAGGGCAAATTAGAATATTTTTACTTTTGTTTGTAGCGCCTCGTTTGTCAGTCCCCATAAGTGTGTTGTCTGGTCAGTCTGCTCTGTATATACTTCTGGACTGACCACAGCACCTTCTGTCTTGCCTGATAGGATGCCACAGGGAACATGGGAGCAAGCTGGAGTCAGGCAGAGGGCTGTGATGTGTGGAGTTATAATGATTATGGCGATGAAATGAGGAACAGAAAAGAAAACCATAAAAACCTAAGCTTGATGGTTTCTGCTGCTTGTGGCTCAAACAGCTTGTTTTGTTATGTTTTCTGAGGTTTAAAGGAATAGGGTTCACTCACAGAGGTTCATAAATCTCAGCATTCATACTGTTAAATACAGGGGCTTTTTATAAGGTTTTGAAAATATATATTTTGGCTTGTTAGTCAAATATAATGCTATTTAAATGTTAAAAAATACTGTGTTTCTTGAAATTAAAAATGAAGCTGCCGTCTGCTTTTATTCTCATTTCAACCAAAAAGTGGAACTCTGCCAAGAGTCATTAAATCTTTCATCCTTTGGATGAATTCTTATTTTTTATGAAAAAAATGTTATGATTGAGTAATTTGTGTATTGT